AAAATAAAATAATATATTTTTAAATTATATATAAAAAATAATAATATATTTTTTTAATAATATAAAAAATAATATATTTTTAAATTATATATAAAAAATAATATGTTCTCAAAATTAATATTTTAATATATAAAAAATAATATATTTTTAATAATATATAAAAATAAAAAGTAATATATTTTTAATAATATATATTTTTATTTTTAATTAAACAATAAATAAAATTAAATTATCAATTTTTTTATTTGAATTTTATTTTTTAAAATAATATATTTTTAGTAATATATAAAAATATAAAATAATAGATTTTTAATAATATATATTTTTATTTTTTAAAAGCAATAAATAAAAGTAAGTTTTCAATTTTTTTATTTGAATATTATTTTCTAAATAGTATATAAAGATATAAAGTAATGAATTTTTGATAATATATTAATTAAGCAATAAATAAAAGTAAGTTTTCAATTTTTTTATTTGAATTTTATTTTTTAAATAATATATTCTTAATAATTTATAAAAATAAAAAGTAATATATTTTTAATAATATATATTTTAATATATTTTAATATTATGTGTTGCAACACAAAAAATTAATAAAGTCATGGAATTGGAATGGGTAATCCCATAGGTTATGAGAGGAATGAGTAATCCCATAATAATGAGAATAGTGATTACATGGTAATGGTAATTCCTTGTGAGCAAAACATACCAAGTATAGGAATTGGAATTACATAAGGAATGATCATTCCAATCATGATCCATTCCCATATACCAATCATGCTCTTAGTCTTTTATTCAAATTATATTTCATTCCAAAATGATCAAATCAAACCATTCTTTTGCCATTAAATAACACAACGTAGATTATTTCAAAAATGAATTTTGGAGAAAAAAAAATTGAAAATTAAATACTGGAATACATTTAATTCTTTGAATTTTATTGCACTTTTTTTTTTCCAAAAATAACACTCTTTCATTTAAATTAGCATTCGGTAAATTCTAGATTCTAAAACGCATGTAAATATTCCCTTAAGAAATTACCTAATTCGTAAGGTTTGATTTTAGAAAAAAAAAATAATAATAATAAAAATAAAAAATCTAATATATAAATTCACATAGCTAAATTCAAGAATGCATGTAATTTTGAGAGATTCAAATAATTATTCTATGCATGCTATTAAATTACCTGAGTTTAAATCATTCATGTATGAGAATAATCTATTTAATGATTCATTTTTATGATAAATAATTTGCTACTAGTTGACAATGGATATTAAACTTTCTTAAAAAGGGCCTATATTGCAGTTTTTGTCCGAAAAAAAAATACTACTTATTCATGTGTCTTTCTTAAAAAAAAAAAAAGTCCCTTAATTTTAAAAGAAAAACTATGTCATTATATAAACATAATTTTTATTTTTTATATAAAAAAATATAAAAACAAAAATAAAAAATTTATAGAGACCGGGTCAATGACCCGGGTCAATGCCGGGTTGGCCGGGTTTGACCGGGTCCATTGTTACCCGGTCCTAATAGCCCACTCGTACCGGTTTCGGCTCCGTGTCGACCCGCCGGGCCGGTCCGTGTCACAAAACAATGATTGTAAGGCATTCATTCATAGCCACACCATTGATGGTTTGGATTCATATTTGATATTAAGATCATTAGTTAATTCAAATTAGATTTTTTTTTTTTTTTTTTTTCGCCAGAACGGTAGGTGATTCAAATTAGATATGAATGGTAATATCATCAATTTACAAAGATTTAGTTCATCCGAATAATCCCATTTTGCTTCTTAACTTGGTCTTTATTTTTTACTACATGTTTTATTTTTTTGTGTTTTTTGTGTATAATTGTATGGTGCGATGATGACTCCCGACAAATGTATCGATTTAGGATACCACAAGAGAAAAACTCAAATCTCCCTACAAAATATTTGGATTTTGAAATTATAGTATCCTCTGTCGGGAATCTACAAAATTGTCCCCTTCTAATTATTGTAAAAACTGCACTCATCTCTTCTACCACCAAGTGCAATTTCATTGTTTTTGTTGTAATATAGATCGTCAATACGTAAGATCGATGTGTAAGAAAGACAAAAAGAGAAAACAATAAAAGAGAATAAGAGTAAAAGAGAATAAGTGAGAAGGGAGACTCACCCACCACTTCCGGGTGTACGACCCGGGTCGACCAACGGATTAGTCGGAGCATAGCTCTTGACTCATACCTACAAATCATATATATAGGTAATGTCCACAAATTAATATTTACAACAGTTTTTTTTTTTCCTCCTTTTTTTCCATCCATTTAATTCTTGGGCTCCTTTAATATACTGTTCACGTGGTTTATTCAATTGAAATGTTTTAAGGAATAAGTATTGTGTTCTCTCTTAGTAATAAAACAAAAAATTATACTTGTCATAAATTAGGTCTTATACTCATCATTTTGAAAAATTAGTACTATAAGATTAGTACTAGATACATAGCAAAATGGATGAATTAAAAAAGTCAAAACGACATTTATTTAAAAAAGGAGGTAGTAATATTTTTTACTCAGGAAAAATAAGTTCCCCACCAGTCGTCAAATCGAAATTTCCAATATGCCTAGAAAACCGCGTCGGTTTTGTTTTCTTATGTGAAGAAAGAAATTGATAATTAATCATAATAATAAAGCTAAGGCACAATAGCGAACCGTGTTTCCACATCCAACGTTACTGCAAAAGCCCCGCCCCAAAAACACATCCTACAGTGAGTTAGTCTACCCGTCAGTACAATTTTTAAACAAAAACGACTTTTATTTTTGAACTTATAGTTGAAAAGCTAGTTTATATGATAAAAGCGTTTGGTAAAATTAACTGATAAGCTACCAAAAGAAACTTAGAAAATAAACTCGATTTTTCTTTTTTTTTTTGAAAAAAAAAGCTTATTTGAATATATAAATTAACCAAATAAACTATCTTATAGCTTATTTGATCACCAAACATAGCCTTAACAATTACGTGAACCGACTGGTCATGATTTTTCCAACAAAAATACATATTCATATTGCGAAATGTCATATTTTTTTTTAAAGTTATTTTCGTTGTAAGACATTCATATATGAAAGTATGCATGCTCGTTAAAAGAAAACAAACGTTTGGACTGCCCATTAGGCCTACTCCCCAGCAAATCTACTGCCAAAAAAGTACTCCCTCATTTTTTAAATAAATGTCGTTTTGACTTTTTTGATTCATCCATTTTGCTATATATATGTCTAGATACATAGCAAAATGGATGAATCAAAAAAGTCAAAACGACATTTATTTAAGAAAGGAGGTAGTAATAAATAAATAAAGACGACCGTTAACTTGGAGGGACTGAAAAAACAGAGCATCAAATCAGATAGCAAACTATAGGGCCTGGCTTTATATAGAGCTGTATATATTTGGACGAAT